ACTGGAAGGCTGTTCCATGCGTCCACTACCACTACTACTTCCTGATATTATTTTTAAACCTTTGCCCCTCTAATTTTAGACTATGTCCTCTATGACTATGTAGACTATGTTGTGGTAGTTTTTCTTGTTATAAATATAGTCTCCCCCTTTACTGTGTTGATTCCCTTTATGTATTTAAATGTTTCTATCATATCCCCCCTGTCTCGTCTTTCCTCCAAGCTATACATGTTAAGTTCCTTTAACCTTTCCTGGTAAGTTTTATCCTACAATCCATGAACCAGTTTAGTAGCCCTTCTCTGAACTCTGTCTAAAGTATCAATATCCCTCTGGAGATACGGTATCCAGTACTGCGTACAATACTCCAAGTGAGGTCTCACCAGTGTTCTGTACAATGGCACGAGCACTTCCCTCTTTGTACTGCGAATACCTCTCCCTATACAACCAAACATTCTGCTAGCATTTCCTGCTTCTCTATTACACCTCTATTGATTGTGGACATCTGCAGACTTTTAAAATCACCCGTAGAATTACTTCCCTTGCAGCCGAAGGGAGATCCTACATACCAGTTCAGTGTACAAGTAATGAGCCATAGCTTAACATCTATTAAGTAGGACATACTTGTAAGTCTTATTTGGCTTGCAGTGTTGGGATTTTCTCATTTGGGAGATTCAAACAATCACTAGGAAACATTCTAGTTTTAGTGGAGCAGATTTTAGAAATGCACAGTGGGTTTTTGACATATATTCTACTGACGGTGATTGCCTGCAAGGCTTTAGGTTACAGGGATCTGAATAGAGGATTACTGCCCTATATGGATTAGATACCCAGACAGTTAGAGTTAACGCACTCTTCATTTTGCAAGAAGTAGGCAAGTTGGGTTATATTATCAAGCATGTGTGTTTTGCACTGTATTACTTAAAGGGACACTATAGTCACCAGAACAACTACAGCTTATTGCATTTGCTCTGGTGAGAATAGTCAGTCCCTGCAGGCTTTTTGCAGTAAACACTGTTTACTGGCCCCTCCTCAGATGGTTGCTAGATATGCTTCCTGGGGCAGTGCAGAACAGTGTGCAGCACTGACATTCTCTGCATGGAGACACTGAAATTTCCTCATGGAGATTCATTGATTCAGTGCATCTCTATGAGGCGATGCTGATTGGCCAGGGCTGGGTTTGGCTTGTGCTGGCTGTGCCCCTGATCTGCCTCCTTGACAAGCTCAGCCAATCCAATGCTTTCCTGTGGGAAAGCATTGTGATTGGCTGTAATCAAAACTTCTTCGTCTGATGTCAACCAAGCAGGCAGATCAGGGGCAGATCCAGCATCAGCAGACTGGAATAAAGGTAATATTTTACTGTATTTAGGGGGGCAAGGGAAAGCTAGATGGTGTTTTTTACACTATGGGCTCAGGAAGACATGTTTTTTTGTTGTTGTTTGTTTTTTGTATTTTTGCATAAGAGTGTTACAGACTTGAGGTACCCCAAAGGCATTACTTAGGCATATTATATTGCTTAACATTTGGGGTATTTGAGAACACATGCAAAATTTTATATTATAGGTAGAGTGACATAGGTTAAAGCATGAAGTTTATGTAATGTAGATCAAGCTAGGTAGAAGATGAGTGAGTAACATGTTTGGCTATCCTTTGTTTGGTAGGTATTTATCATATGTAGTGTACTATCCTGCAGCAGTTTAGTCATGGAGTGGTGTGGGTACATAAGGTATGTGTCCTGCAGTGTGCTGAGAAGGTGTGCCTGTGTAACATTACTCGGGGGATGAACCCCTAGTCAGCCCCTATATAGCTTTAATATGTAGTTAAACAAAAGCATGTAAGCATAGATAGCAAAAATAGCTCAATATCAGTAGCAACTTTAGTATGGCTTTAGCTGGGTACATCAGATTACTGTGGTGGCAGTTGTGGCTTTTAGAAATGTGCCCCTGAGCAGTGGGAGCTGTGTTCTTGGGTTGGCATGTTTATGTCAGCCGATGCCTTGACTCGGTAAAGTCGGAGATGCTCCAGGTATGGTAGCTTGAGCAGGGTGTGCTGGGATCTTGCCCCTACTGCTCCGTGCTTGAAAGGTGGTCCACAGGTGGGGTCTATGGACCCTATCATCCTGGTAATCCAAGTCCCTCCATACTGGGAGAATGTGTTGGTTGCGGGCGGTCCGCCGTCGCATGTGGGTACCTGGTCTCCGCCAATGTGGTCGAGGTTCGACGGCTTTCGCCAGAGTGGCCCTCAGCTTTGTTAGGCCAGGAGTAAGCTTCACAGGGGGTTGTGAGAGCCCAGGCTCTCCACGGCTCTCGTCAGTGCACTCTCTCCCCTGATACTGGGTCTGTGAGCTCGACATCCAAGCCTCCTGCCGTCCCCAGAATCTCTGGAACACTTTATCCAGCCTTTGGAGCATGCAGTCCACCGAGCCCAGTAGGACCGACCCAACCTTTGCAGCTCATGCTTCTGTCTGCTCTCGTCCCCCGTCTTGGATGTGTCTGCTGGGTGCACCATGCGGTCTGTGTAGGTCACTTGTTTGCCGGGCTGCCATCAGAAATTTTGGGGCCCCTGACAAAGTTCAAGGTCTGGGCCCCCAGAGCCCACTCATGAGTCCGCCCACAGGGCTGTCCTTGAATTTTCCCACAAAGATGCAGTATGTGTGTAGAGTGAATGCAGAGTCTGTGTGTGTAGTCAATGTGTTTAGTGGATACAGTGTGTGTAAAGTGGCCATCTGTTGTAAGTCCCAGAATGCTTTAGCTGGGGATCTACAATTTGCAGGGCTGTATTTAGCACTCAGCAGTGTATGTGTATTTGAATATAAACATGGTTTTGAATGGAGCATTTGAATGTTGGTGTTTGAATGCAGGCGTGCATTTGTCTGTAGTGTATACACACACACACACACACACAGACACACACACACACACCCTGACATACATGCAAATACACAGACACACAGTTACACATATTGACACATAGTTACACAGACACACACACACATACACTCAGATGCCCACTGACACATATACACACATATACACAGACACACTCAGGTGCAAACTGACACACAGATACATACAGACACTGATGCACATACACACACACACTGACATACAAGTAAATACACAGACTCACAGATATACACACTGAAAGATACAGACACACACACACACGTGCACATTGACACAGACACATACAGACACACATAAAACAAAATATAAATAAAATATGTGTAAAAATGTAGAGAAACAATAATAAAGTAATCTATTCACACCAAATAAACACAGCTTTAGTTGAGAATCTCAGAAAACAAAAAAAGCATGAGCGCTCCAGCAATATATATATATATATATATATATATATATAAAAATATATATAATTTATTGCACTAATTAAACAACACACTTAAAAAAAAAAATGCAAATGACAGAAAATGGGCCATGCACATAATAAAATATAAGACAGGCTATGCAAGATAAAAACATACACAAATGGGCAGTCTGTATGTATAGCTCAAAAAGCCAGGACAGCACCAAATAGAAAAGATACACATTACAACAAAGTTACAAAAACAAACAATAACAATCTGATAAAACATTTAAATAGAGCCCCAACTAAAATAAATAGGGTATATCAACTAAGTAGTGAAAATTATTGTGGACAAAAAGTGTACATAAAAATCAAAAGCACAGACACTAGAAAACCATGAACATAAAAGCTGCAACACTGCAACAAAAAATCAAAGACTAAAACAATAACAAAAACATACACTCAGGTGCACACTGCCAACCAGATACAAACAAACACATAGATACACACACTGATAGATATACAGACAGACACACACTCAGGTACACATAGATACATACACACTAACACACTTTTTTTTTTTTTTAAACCACTCTCCTGTTACTTACCTTTAGGCTGCAGGAGGGTGGACTCTGCTGGCTGGGGCTGATGTGGATGTGGGTCTGACTCTGTCCTCCTCTCCTCTTCACACTCCTCAGTGCTTCCTCCCGCGCTGGTCCCAGCACTGCCAGGATCCTTAAAGGGGCCCGGACTAGCTATTAAAAATCCACAGCACTGATTGGGCCCCTTTAGCGATATGCCCATCGGGTGGCCCTAAGTGCATGGGCCACCTGATGGGCCCCCTCAGGTAGTTCTGCCACTGCCAAAACACATATATATAGCGATAAACGTCAATATATATGTATGCACATTGGGAATGGGGGGCCTGGCTGCCTGGGCCCCCCAGGACCGCCGGGCCCATGACAACAGTCATGGTTGTCACCCCCTGATGGCGGCCCTGCTTGTTTGCTGTGTGAGGCTATGGGGAAACCAGGGGGGACCGGGATATCCCCCGCTGGTCCATGGAGGGGGGGGTCAGTTCTATTCAGATTGTTCACCGCCAGTCTGAGCAGTGGGAGAGCGGCCGCCTCTCCTCAGCCTGGTCGCTGATAGGCCTCAAAGCCTCGAGTCAGATTTCCCGGTGGCAGAGAAGCCCGGGAAAGGTATCCCCGGAGCCACCGGCTTTTCATGAACACACTTTCAATGTTGCTCTGCGTCCAGGTTTTGGCTCTGTAGTTTAGTCGGTTTAGTGGTGCCAGACGCGGGAGCTCTCGCAACACACGTCTGTTCATTCAATCAGTTATTTTTTGTATGTTTTTTGTATGTTGCTGTGTTCTATGCATTTTTCATTATATTTATTATAATTGTTCAATTAAACCTTAAAATAGATCCATTTATTGTTTTTCTGGTTTACATCTTAGGGTTTATTTCTCATGGTCAGTAAACTGTGAAGATTTAGATCAGATCATTAGGTTTAGCAACAGGCACAAACAAAGAGGTTAACTGATTTTGTTACAGCTGAATGTTAAGTCATTTGGCACTTGGCAACAGATGTCTGGAATCAACGTCCAATCACAATGCAGAAAGGGCTGGTTTAAGTGAACTTTGCTGAACCAAATGACTTGACAAATGCAGCCCTATGTGAGATGACTTAACACATTCCTCGGGGCACGAGGCTAGTGACAAGCTTCATACCTGTTCGTGCTGGCACTTCTCCCAGTCAAGTTGTTTAGCTTGTGGTTGCTGCTGAACTTTGCATACATATCAGTCTATCAATCTATCTACCTAGGACGGTGGCAAGGAAATTGTTTGCGTAAGATTTTATTGTTTATTTGGGGCTAATTATAATGCCACTTTAAGTAGTTGTGTGATAAGGGAGAATGTTTCAGTGGTGCTTTGATTTATTGCTACAGATATTTTTAGAGATCTCAACAGAGTCCATATGAGGTTAGGGAGGTAGGTGCTTATAATATACACCTGCCCCCACAGTCCCCCCCGAAACATCGATAACATGTTGTCTACCACAGGTGGTAATCTGTACTGTATTACTGTCTACTGGACTTTATGCCAGAGGATTCTACTTAGAACCCCTTCCTTCCCCCAGAAAAAAACAGAAAATGCAAACTTACCAAGTTTCCTTCTTTAGGAGGAACAGTCCCTATGTATGGCGCAAATCACAATGTCCCTCTTTTCTGTCCTAATGTCCCTCTTTTCTTGGAGCACCATATTGTTAGTTTGCCTGAGTGTATAACAGAGCTCCATAAAAAAAAAAAAAAAATGTGTATTTAAACTACAATAAATGTGTTTAGAAATCAGTCTGTGTTGATAAGATACATTTTTCTTGTTCTAAATGACATTTAGTTGCATACATTGTTATTACTAAGTCGCCTAAAATTTCTCAGATCCACCCTGCCCCTGGCTAAAAGTGTCCCTCTTTGTCTATTTGAAATGTTGGGAGGTACGGTCAGTATGCAATTCTTGCGGGGAGGGGGGGGGGGGCAGCTATGATGCACAAGGTACATTTTGTACATTATAAAGAGTATGGAGGCATACAACATGCCTTGCATTTGGATCATCATTAGCAGTATTTGAAGTCTGACATTTCAGGATATGTGTTTTTACTCTTTAGGCTACTGGGCTATATATAGTCTCCGTTAGAAACACATCACCAGAACAAGACAGATTTTTTGCTGTGTTGCACAGGACCTTTTGGTTCTTCTCCCCTTACCTTTGGCAGCAGTATACAGTAGTAAAGTCAATAGCTGAGTGGGTCATTTCATTTTAAAACTGTAATATTAAAAGGAGAAACAGTGTCTTTAAAGGGAAACTATAGTCATAATAACCACTAGAGCTTAATATAGTGGTTCTGGTGTCTATGACATGTCCCCTCCGGCTTTTCAAAGTAAACACTGCTTTTTCAGAGAAAAGGCAATGTTTATATTGTTGCCTAGTAACACCTCTAGGTGCAGCTACTCTGACAGCCACTAGAGATTTTTCCTATCTCAGTGCAGCATTATCTGCAGCACCTACATTCAGCGTCTCCATGCTTTGCATGAACGCACCTCATAGAGATGCATTGATTCACAAACAGCAGTATATGTATGTGTGTATATATATATATATATATATATATATATATATATACACATATATATATACATGCGGCGTGTGTTTGTGCTTTAGGGTGCACACCCTAATGCAATAGGCTGCACACGCCTATGGTGTTAATTAATCTAATATTTTTATTATGGTTTATATTACCATTAGTCTTTAAAAGGGTAAAGAGATTTACAAATCATTCTGCCAACTCCAGCACTTATAGTCCTAAATAACACTGAAGTGTGTTACAGCAAAATAATCATATGAGAGGTTTTGTAGACATCTATCACCTGCTTAGCTTTAACATCCAACTGATCACAGTGCAGAGAAGAGCTTCCTCGGAATGTACTGTGTCATCAAGTAGAATTTATGGTTCTGATGGTGCTATCACCAGTCAATTCATTTTTCATTAGGTTGTACTTATGTTTTGTTTTTTCTGTTTTGGTTCTAGCGAGTGCTAGTTGTCAGACCTATCATCGACAGAAAAGGCAGCTGTGTGTTTTTTTTTTTATCTTACCATACATTCATGCACCCATCACAAATTTAGCTGTGGCCTTTTATTGTGGCCAGCCTAAGGCACACCTGTGCAATAATCATGACGTCTAATTAGCATCTTGATATGCCACACCAGGTGGATGGATTATCTCGGCAAAGGAGAAGTGCTCACTAACACAGATTTAGACAGATTAGTGAACAATATTTGAGAGAAATAGGCCTTTTGTGTACATTGAAAAAGTTTTAGATCTTTGAGTTCAGCTCATGAAAAATGGAGGCAAAAACAAGTGTTGCATTTATTATTTTGTTCAGTGTATATATGCACAATCACATACCCATACACACCAGTAGCGTCGCTAGGGGGGGGCCAGAGGGGGCCATGGCCCCCCCTACATCATGCTGGGCCCCCCAAATGCCGGCAACTTGCTGGCCATGTGTTTAAATTTTATTCCCTTGGGCTGTAACAGTCTGTGACAGCCCGAGGGAATGCAGGACAGAGGGGCTGGGGGCTGTCTGTGGCTGGAGGGAGCACTGAAAGGCTCCCTGGCAAGACCCCGCCTCCAAATAAAGCCCCGCCTCCCGCACATAAGCCCTGTCCCCGCCGTTAAGCAGCAGACCATGCTGCTGCTGGAAAAGCCAGAAGATGGCTGTCTGACCCCCAGCACCAGCCTCCAGTGACAGGTAGGCTTGATGTGCTTGTGTCTGTGTGTGTGTCTGTCTGTCTGCTAGTGAGGAAGCTTGTGTGTGTCTGTGTCTGTGTGTGTATGGACTCAGCAGTCTGTGTGTCTGTGTCTATGGAGTCAGCAGTCTGTGTGTGTGTATGGATTCAGCAGTCTGTGTGTCTGTGTGTATGGACTCAGCAGTCTCTGTGTGTGTGTATGGACTCAGCAGTCTGTGTGTGTGTATGGACTCAACAGTCCGTGTGTGTGTATGAACTCAGCAGTCTGTATGTGTGTATGAACTCAGCAGTCTGTATGTGTGTATGGACTCAGCAGTCTGTATGTGTGTATGGACTCAGCAGTCTGTGCATGTCTGTGTGTGTGTGTATGAACTCAGCAGTCTGTGTATGGACTCAGCAGTCTATGCGTGTGTGTGTGTATGGACTCAGCAGTCTGTGTATTGACTCAACAGTCTGTGTGTGTATGAACTCAGCAGTCTGTGTGTGTGTGTGTGTGTGTGTATGGACTCAGCAATCTGTGTGTGTGTGTATATGAAATTAAGCAGTCTGTGTGTGTGTGTGTGTATGGACTCAGCAGTCTGTGTATGGACTCAGCAGTCTATGCGTGTGTGTGTGTGTATGGACTCAGCAGTCTGTGTATTGACTCAACAGTCTGTGTGTGTATGAACTCAGCAGTCTGTGTGTGTGTGTGTGTGTGTGTATGGACTCAGCAATCTGTGTGTGTGTGTATATGAAATTAAGCAGTCTGTGTGTGTGTGTGTGTATGGACTCAGCAGTCTGTGTATGGACTCAGCAGTCTATGCGTGTGTGTGTGTATGGACTCGCAGTCTGTGTATGGACTCAGCAGTCTGTGTATTGACTCAACAGTCTGTGTATGTGTGTGTGTGTGTATGAACTCAGCAGTCTATGTGTGTGTGTGTGTGTGTATGGACTCAGCAATCTGTGTGTGTGTGTGTATGGACTCAGCAGTCTGTGTGTGTGTGTATGGACTCAGCAGTCTGTGTGTATGAACTCAGCAGTCTGTGTCTACCACGTAAGAAGGAGTCTACCACGTAAGAAGGAGTAGCACTACAATGTCTATCTGCTTTGCACTTTTGGAGCTTAGCCCTAACTAAGTCTATCTTAATTTCTCCAAACTGCTTTCTACACTTGGCATACCCGTAGGAGAGAAAGAACTCGGAGGCACAACAGGGTCAAACCCATAGTTAATATAAAAAGGACTGTGTTGCGTAGACTCGTGTACTTGGATGTTATGAACTCAGCCCAAGGGCGTAAACCAACCCAATTGTCTTGATATTCAGAAGTAAAACATCAAAGGTATTGTTCAAGGAAATGGTTCATCCTCTCGATAGCACCATTAGACTGAGGATGATATGAGGATCAAAAAATTCAATTGTATACCTAATTAATTACAGAATGCCTTCCAGAATCTGGAAATAAATTCTATAGTGTTCCTTTAAATGTATAATTTCATTAAAGTGGCTAGAGTCAGGAAATAAGACATTATTTTTAATAAAGGAATAATTGGAAAATGCATACTGCATATGAATTAAAGCTATTTTAATGTATTATTTTGTTCAGTGACTTTTCCTAAAGGGAAAACCCGGTCACCTTATGCTGGGGTCACTGGCTAGAAAGCCACACGGGGATTTACTACCGTCGAGTAGTGGGAATGTATTTTTCTTACTGTAGATACATCCTACAGGCAATATTTTTAACACAGTCCTGCAGTGTACACTGGCCATAGTCATAGCCAGCTGAAAATCTGCTCACTCCATTAACTAATGTTGCCTGAGTTGTTTCATATTATTTGGAAAGGCAAATCAGTCATTAAACAAGTTTTAGAAATAATCAAATTAAAAAAAATATTAAATGACACTGGCAGTTTTTTTTTTTTTAGAAAAAAAATCACTACAGACTATTTTAAAAAGAAAAATAACAGCAGGCAAGAATTTAAATATTGTAATATAATTAAACTGAAATATAGAAATTCTTTGTCATCCTGTAGCCAACAAAAACAACCTGCCTAAAATGTATGAATGCCTAAGTATACTTTGAGAGGGAAGCAAAAGTCCAAATACATTTTAAAACCTCAAATTAACCCTTCCTAAAAGCTATATGGCAATTCTTTCACTACATTGATTAATCCAGTTAATGCTGTGTATTACTGCACCACAGAGCTGCTCTATGCAACTGCACTGGCAGGCACGCAACAACAAAAATGACTGAAACCAGCATGTTTAGTTGCCAGAACAATGGTGGATCTAATGATGAAAAGGCCTTGGTGCAATACATTGTTTTGGATCACTCCTCTAGCACAAGGATGGACAAATGGTAAAATACCCATATTCCTGGCTAATCATGGCAGCATCACTTATAGGTAGCTCCGCCCTTAGCAGTCACAGGACAGGAATTAATTAATTAGACTGATGAGTATAAACAGTACATCCTCCCCTTACACCTCAGTCTTTTTTCCTGTCCTTAGCAAGTTCTACAGGACTTTTTACATTTTATTTTATGGCCACCTTTCTGCGTTTGTCGTGGGTTCGTTCCGAATAAAGTTCAGCCTCTCTTCATTTGAAGGACCCAGTAAACAGCCTGCATGAGCAGGACTACCTAGGTCAGGTTCAGTGTATGTACTTGACTGCTGCGTTGGATTTAGATTGGTGTTCTAAGGGAAACACGGCTACAGGTAATTGGAGAATGGGGTTGGTCCTCCTTAAAAATTCCCCTTGTTGTTTGACTTGCCCCTAGTAATTGGGGTCTAAACCCCCCCCCCCCTCCACTAGCATTGGTGGCAGTGTTTGGGATCCATACTGCAGGGGGTCCTCCTGTGGGGGGATCCTGTAAGCTTACTTGTGCTTAGTGGTCTTTCCTGAGGGTGGATTCCCTCTCTGCTGCGGCTGGGGTGCTCTCTATTGTTTCCTGTGGGTTTCTGGAGAGGCCAGCGTTGTTGGCTGGAACGCAGTGTGCTTTTCAGCAGGCGGAAGTGACGTCGCGGCCGGGCCGGCGAAACCGGAAGTGATGTGTATTTTGGCCGCGAGCGTTTGGAACACATAGCGTGCGTTCCAGCAGTCTGCTTATGCGCGGATCAGCAGTTTCCCCGGCGCTATTTAAACTGGGGGATCCTGGTTCTCTGCCTGCTCGATGAGTCAGCTGTTGGTTGGAAGAAGTTGATCCTGTGTGCTCAGTTTCTGCTCCTTTGCTCTGTGCTTGGCTGCCTGGAGTGGTTATCAGGTAGGATGCCTTGTTTCTTCTTGTGTTTCTTGTTTTTGGGAATTTGCTGGTCAGTTTGCTGCTGTCTTTTTTTTTACTGGGACATGTGTTTTACTTTCCTTCAATTCTCCTTTTATTATGGATTCCCCGTCTGCCTCTGCAAGATCCCTCTCTAGAAAACATAGGTGAGCCATTAATTTTTTCATGGGGGGGTTGTTAAAAAGAGTGCCAAACTAAGCCTGTAATATATGTTATATATGGATTTATTTCAGCTCCAGCAAGCATCTGGATTCAAGGAAATCAAGGGAAAAGACCAATAAATGCATTCATTGTTCTTCACCTGCTCCGCATGGAAGAAACCTCTGCAGGAAATGCTTATTGGAAGTGGCAGATGTCCCCAGTAGGAGTTCCCCACAGGATGACCTTAAACTCTGGATTTCCCAAGCTATTGCTGAGGGCTTTAAGCCTACCACAGTGTCTAGTGGTCCGAGTAAGAGATGCAGAGCGGAACCCCTGATGTGTGGGAGGTCTCAGATGATGGTGAAGAGGAAGTTGAATATACCTTCAGGTCTCTCGACTCGAAGTCTATTGATAGACTTATTACCCTCCTCAGAGACACTCTTAGTCTCACGGAAGGAAAGTCTGAATTGAGAGAGGCTGACAGGGTTTTTGAGGACCTAAAACCAAATAGACCGACTTTCCCGGTACATTCCTCTATTAGGGATATGATCCTTTAAGAATGGAATAAGCCAGAAAGGAAATCCACCTTGAAAAATAAATTCACAAGGATTTATCCTTTCTCTGCCGTGGACTGCTGCCTATGGAATTCAGTTCCTAAGATTGACGCTGCTGTGATTCATATGGCAAAGAAAACTACACTTCCTATTGACTCCATGGCATATCTCAGAGAGCCTATGGAAAAGCATATGGATGGGGATTTGATTAAAGCCTACTTGGCCCTGGGCTCCGCCCTTCATCCGGCAGTGGCACTAACCACTCTCTCCAGGGCTTTAAGAGTGTGGCTCGCTAATTTGGAGGAGGACATTGATCGGGGTGTCTGTAGGGAACATCTCTTGGAGAGCCTCAAGGAATTCTGTTCAGAAGCCTCCCTAGACATCACTCACATGATTGCCAAGAGTATGGCCCTGTCTGTGGCTTCTAGAAGTGCCTTATGGCTTCATTCGTGGGGTGCGGACTATGCCTCTAAGGCGTCCTTGTGTGGCCTTCCATTCCAGGGGGATCTCCTATTTGGCAAAATTCTGGAGGATGCTATTCAAAAAGCTGCTGATGGGAAAAAAAGCATTTTTGCCTCAAGTAAGCAGAAAGAGCTTTTCCTCCTCCTGGAAGACTAAGCGTTTCAAGGATCGGTCCTTTCGGGACAGCAGAAGCTACAAACCTGGAAGGGAATATTCCAGAAATTCTTCATGGAAATCCTTCTCGCATTCTTTGTCCAATAAGGCTTCCAGAAGAAGAGGAGCTAGAACCTCTGGGAAGAACTTCTGAAGGTCTTCAGGCCCGTTCGGGGACTGTGGGAGGAAGTTGTTCTACCCCGTGTGGGCCAAAAATATTATGGACGTGTGGGTCACATCCATCATATAGGAGGGCTACAGGATACAATTTTCCTCTCACCCAAAATTTGCTTTCTTCAAGAAATCCAGGGTGTCGGCAGGCATCAAACGAAGGGCCATGAGGACCTGCATTTCTACTCTTCTGAAACAGAAAGTGGTAGAAGAAGTTCTAAGACAGGAAAAGTTCTTTATGGTTTACTCCACAGTGTTCTTGGCCCCAAAACCCCAGGGAAAGTGGCGTCTCATCTTGAACTTGAAGGGTGTGAACTCCATGCTCGATGTGAGAACATTCAAAATGGAATCTTTACAGACCATCTTGAAGAGCATCAAAAGAGTAGACTGGATGACCTCCATAGACTTGAGGGACACCTACTACCAAATCCCTATAAACCGAGATCATATGCAGTTTCTCAGGTTCTGGGCGCTATGAAGGCACTTTCAGTTCCGGGGACTACCATTTGGCCTCAGCTTGGTGCCAAGAATGTTCTCGAAAGTTCTTGTGACTTTGATAGCCTTCAGAGAGAAAGGTATCGAGATCTTCCATTACTTGGACAACATCCTTATCATAGGTCGATCTCAAAGGATAGTAGATCATCACACGTTGGCTTCTCAACGTGGAAAAAAGCCCCCTGATTCCTTCAGACGATCGTATTCCTCAGAGCAGTGATAAACACCATACCTGCCCATGTGTGCCTATCCCTGGAAAGGGTCACAAAGATCACAAAACAAAGTAGGGAAGCTACAAGGTCTCGAGACTGCCTCCGCAAGAGAAGTCATGAGTCTCCTGGGTTCTTTCACATCGACTATAGGGTTGGTAAAATGGGCCCAGTGGAAGTTTCATCTGGTCCAGAATTGCTTCCTTCTCCAGTTCGACAGAGTGGGAGCAGATTGGGAGCAAAGGATCTCACTGCCGTGGCTCGTGAGGAAAGGGTTGAACTGGTGGAAGAGCAAGAAGAATTTGGCAGCAGGCTTCCCATTGGAGGAACCTCCTTGGATGGTTATTACAACAGATGCCAGTTCTTTTGGATGGGGTGCCCACTTCAATTCCACATGGACTCAAGGGAAGTGGACCCGAGAAGAGAGTCAGCTACACTCAAATCTCAAAGCTATTTCCAAGGCCATCTTGGTATTCCTACCAAGGATCTTAAATTCTTGGATACTGATCAAAACGGACATCCGAGCGGTTGCTTCATATGTGAACAACCAAGGAGGCACAAGAAGCAGATTGCTCTTGAAGGAACTAGCTCCCTTGATGACAATCGCCATGACCAATCTCCAGGGTCTGAAGGCAATCTATCTTCCAGGTTCGGAGAACGTGACTGCAGACTTCCTCAGCAGAAAGGAAATTCTTCCGGGAGAATGGAAACTTCACCCGGCAGTCTTTGCATGGATTGCCCATCGGTGGGGCATGCCCCAGATCGACCTGATGGCGTCCTCCCAGAATCATCAGGTGGAGAATTACTTCTCCCTCCACCCGGACAGTCAGGCACTGGGCCAGGATGCTCTCTCTCTTCCTTGGTCATTCTTTCTGTATTCCCTCACCTACCCGTGATACCCAAGTTCCTGCGGAAGGTGTGGTTGGAAGGAAAGAAGGTTATTGCCATAATTCCGGTTTGGCCTCCCCTACTATCCATTATGGTTTCCCCTACTATCCATTATGATCCAGGAACGGCCTTGGCCTCTTCCCTTTATGGAGGATCTGCTAACGCAGGGCCCAATATTCCATCCTCATGTAGAACGCCTCAAATTGGGGGTATGGGTCTTGAAAAAGAAAGACTTCAACAATTAGGGCTCTCAGAAGCTATGGTTAATACCCTTTTGCATTCATGGAAAGCTTCTACTTCCTCATGCTACAATTGGATCTGGGATGTGTTCAGGGAATGGACTTTGGCCAAGAGTATTGACTTTCTGCATCCTCACAATACTGAGATCTTGGAGTTCCTGCAAGAAGGTCTGGATAAGGGCCTTAGCCTCAGCACTCTTAAAGTTCAGTCTTCGGCTCTTTCAGCTTTGTGCAACATCTCATGGACTTCGGGTTCCTTTGATCTCCAGGTTCTTCAAGGCAGCTTTCAGGTTGAGACCTCCTTCCAGATCTACTACCCCTCCTTGGGACCTTCCACTGGTTCTCAATTACCTAACTAAGGATCTGTTCATTCCTTATGAGAGTTTGGATGCTACCCTCCTGACGTATAAAACTTTGTTTTTGGTGGCAATTACTTCCGCAAGAAGAATTTCGGAGATTAAAGCATTTTCTACCTTATCTTCTTGTCTACAATTCTATCATGATAGGGTGTGTCTGGAATCAAAACCTGAGTTTCTTCCTAAGGTGGTCTCTCAGTTTCATCTCTCTCAGGAAGTGGTCCTTCCATCGTTCTACCCCAATCCTTCTTCGCAAGAGGAGGTTAGATGGCAACGTTTGGATGTCGTGAACTGCCTGTCTACCTTAAGTGTTCTGAGTCTTACAGAAAAACTGACCAACTCTTCGTCTTACCGTCTGGAGCCAGGAGACGTGAGGCGGCCTCTTTATCTACATTAAAACGGTGGATTTCGTTAGTGATCAGGAAAGTATATATCTCTAAAGGTCGATCTCCTCCAATGAAGATAAGACCTCATTCTACTAGAGCATTGTCGACTTCATGGGTTAATTGGGCAGAGGTTCCATACGATGATATTTGTAGGGCAGCCACCTGGTCTTCCCCGATGACGTTCATAAAACACTACAAAATGGATGTGGACACTCCTTCCACCTCCTTTGGGAAGAGTGTCCTGTCTACGGTTTCTTTATCCTGTTGATATTAAATTTCTTTGCAGCATAGAGTCTGTTTAGTGTCTTTCTCGATTTAGTATTCCCACCCTATAATTCTGTGAGCTTGGGCATTACCCATAAGTGATGCTGCCATGATTAGCCAGGAATAGAGAAAATTTATGACAAACTTACCGTAATTTTCTTTTCCTGGCTATTTCTCATGGCAAAATCAGGGTTCCCGCCCATTCTTTTATTTTTCAGCTTTATAATTGGACTGAGGTGTAAGGGGAGGAGGGACTCTTTATACCCGTCAGTCTAATTAATTAATTAATTCCGGTCCTGTGACTGCTAAGGTAGGAGCTACCCATAAGTGATGCTGCCATGAGAAATAGCCAAGAAAATAAAATTACGGTAAGTTTGTCATAAATATTCTCTATTTCGTACAACTCCCACAATGCAATGCCAGCTGGGAATCTACCATTTGCCCAACCTAACTTGTTGTACCTGTGAGCAGTGTTTGTGGCATTTGAATGTTAGCATGTTTTTGTATAGACTATGTGTGTATGCATGTAGACTGTATTTCCATGTACTGTTGCCACTGGAGTAAGTAGTGTACTTCTATGTAATGTTTGCGTTTGAATGTAGAGGTATGTTTGTATGTGGTGTTGGCTTTTAAAATGCAGGAGTACTTTTATGTGTAGTGTTGGTGTTTGAATGAAAATGTGTTTCTATAAAATATTGGCATTTTAATACATGGGTGTGTTTGTAATGTTTGCTTTTGATTGCAGGGGGATGTTTGTATGCAGTGTTGGATTTTAAATGCCGGTGTAGATTTTAAATGTACATTTTAAATGTAGGGCTTATTTGTATATCATTTTGGTGTTTGACTCCAGGGATATATTACAGGGAGTGCAGAATTATTAGGCAAATTAGTATTTTGACCACATCATCCTCTTTATGCATGTTGTCTTACTCCAAGCTGTATAGGCTCGAAAGCCTACTACCAATTAAGCATATTAGGTGATGTGCATCTCTGTAATGAGAAGGGGTGTGGTCTAATGACATCAACACCCTATATCAGGTGTGCATAATTATTAGGCAACTTGCTTTCCTTTGGCAAAATGGGTCAAAAGAAGGACTTGACAGGCTCAGAAAAGTAAAAAATAGTGAGATATCTTGCAGAGGGATGCAGCACTCTTAAAATTGCAAAGCAAGCATGATCATCGAACAATCAAGCGTTTCATTCAAAATAGTCAACAGGGTCGCAAGAAGCGTGTGGAAAAACCAAGAAAATAACTGCCCATGAACTGAGAAAAGTCAAGCGTGCGCTGCCACGATGCCACTTGCCACTAGTTTGGCCATATTTCAGAGCTGCAACATCACTGGAGTGCCCAAAAGCACAAGGTGTGCAATACTCAGAGACATGGCCAAGGTAAGAAAGGCTGAAAGACGACCACCACTGAACAAGACACACAAGCTGAAACGTCAAGACTGGGCCAAGAAATATCTCAAGACTGATTTTTCTAGGTTTTATGGACTGATGAAATGAGAGTGAGTCTTGATGGGCCAGATGGATGGGCCGTGGCTGGATTGGTAAAGGGCAGAGAGCTCCAGACTCAGACGCCAGCAAGGTGGAGGTGGAGTACTGGTTTGGGCTGGTATCATCAAAGATGAGCTTGTGGGCCTTTTTGGGTTGAGGATGGAGTCAAGCTCAACTCCCAGTCCTACTGCCAGTTCCTGGAAGACACCTTCTTCAAGCAGTGGTACAGGAAGAAGTCTGCATCCTTCAAGAAAAACATGATTTTCATACAGGACAATGCTCCATCACACGCGTCCAAGTACTCCACAGCGTTGGCAAGAAAGGGTATAAAAGAAGAAAATCTAATGACATGGCCTCCTTGTTCACCTGATCTAACCCCATTGAGAACCTGTGGTCCATCATCAAATGTGAGATTTACTACACCTCTGAACAGTGTCTGGGAGGCTGTGGTTGCTGCTGCAAATGTTGATGGTGAACAGATCAAAACACTGACAGAATCCATGGATGGCAGGCTTTTGAGTGTCCTTACATGGCTATATTGGTCACTGATTTGTTTTGTTTTGTTTTTGAATGTCAGAAATGTATATTTGTGAATGTTGAGATGTTATATTGGTTTCCTGGTAATAATAAATAATTGAAATGGGTATATATTTGTTTTTTGTTAAGTTGCCTAATAATTATGTAATAGTCACCTGCACACACAGATATCCCCCTAACATAGCTAAAACTAAAACAAACTAAAAACTACTTCCAAAAATATTCAGCTTTGATATTAATGAGTTTTTTGGGTTCATTGAGAACATGGTTGTTGTTCAATAATAAAATTAATCCTCAAAAATACAACTTGCCTAATAATTCTGCACTCCCTGTAGTATGTAATTTTTGTGTTTGTTTGCAAGGGTGTGTTGGCGTTTAGTGATGGAGCTTGATTGCTGGGATGTATACACATATACACTAGGGATGTGCATGGGGAAAATATTCGATTCGGCATTCCGAAATTTGGGACTTCGGAACTTCGGCACTTCGGATGTTCTCTTGCAGCTGCATAGTAGATAACTCCCTAATTCCTATGGTATTAGGGAGCTATCTACCAAAAGGCTGAAAGGCCTAAATTGGTCTTTCAGTTAAATTTACTAATACTAAGTAAAGATTACTTAGTATTAGCAAATGCTTACAGCTGAATCCTGGCTATATTTGTCTACTTTTTATTTAAACTGGTATACAGTGTAACATTCTTCCACTGGGTATATTAGTACTTCGGCAATTCTGTGCTTTGAAGCTTCGGCACTTCGACACCTTGGAAATTCGGCAATTCAGCAGAAGTATCCGAATGTCCAAATTGTCTGAAATTCGTCAAAATTGACATTCGGAATGAAACGAATTGCACATGTCTAATATACACATATGCTGCCACACACATACATACTTACACAGATACATGTACACATTGACACACAAACACAGATACTCAATTGAAAACACAGGCGCACACTCAGATATACACTGACATATACACTCAGATACACACATATGCACACTAACACATACACCCACACTGACACACATGGTTACCCACATTGATACACACAGAGACTGACACACATAGATACCCACACTGATACACACACAAATTGACACACATAGATGCATACACTGACACACATGTACACACACTGACTGACACATACACATGTCATAATTCATATATTTTTAGCCACCTGTTGTTAACATACCTTTTGTGTGCAGTAGGGTGGGGCTTGCCTGGGGCCTGCTGCTGGCTGAGGCTGATGGGATTGTATTTACTCATGTGGCTATTGCACCCTTTAGTGCCCCGATGTGTCTCCTACCTTTATTGTAGCGTGGCCGAGGGGACCGCAGTATGGGAGCTTCATTCTCCTGTACCTGGCCGGACTAACAGGAAGTGCTCTCTCAGTGAGAACTTCCTTTCAGCCCGGCCAGCACAGGAAACACAAGTTCCTGTACCGTGGTGCGCACTGCTCCGCTCGGGCACGCTACACAGAGCGGTCACTCCAACACAAGCAGCCAGTGCGCCCAAAGGCGGCTGCTTGTGTTGCCTTATGGACGCACCGGCCCTGGTGCCAGACTCCTTCTCCAGAATTTGACTTTGCTATTTAACTCTGTAACCACTACCAGCATCTGTCTACTTAACCACATGCACTCAACACCGAATGGAAGTTCTTTTCCAATACTGAGTTAGACATACAATATTCAGAGTTAGTTATACTATAGAGATAAACATACATACATGGTTGGTGCAAAGTCCATTCTCTAAAGTACCAGTAAGTACGTTTGGTGAGTTTTACTTGGATTGCACTGACTTTTGTGTTGCCTTGCTATCGGCAAATAAAGCATCATGGCCCCTTGTCTCTATATTTGATTTTTAATTTTTTTTCAAAGAATGAAAATTCTAAATCTGAAACAAAGATACAGCAAAACCTAATATAAACCAAATAAAGAATAATCTTTTAAAAATATAACCACAGATAGTAGAACACAATTGTGTATGTGTTTCTATGTTTTTTATAGGTTTTACTTCATCCTCTTTTCAAATGTAAGGCTGATTCACAAACCCACGCTTGTTTTTGTTTCATAACGGCTTGTGAACTTTGCCTGGTATTGTGAATCACAGTTTTAAAATGTCTTAAAGGGACACTCCAGATGGTTACAGCACTTTAACTTGCTGAAGTGCTTCATGTGTGAAGAGTGCGTCCCCTTTTTCATTTGACTAAAGTACAGATTTCAATAGAAATTAGCACTTTTATAAATTAAATGGTTACTCCAACCACCATGAACACTTCTACTTTTAGAAGTGGTCATGGTGCTGTGTGTGTAAGGGGGGACTGTGTGTGTAAGGGGGGGCTGTGTATGTAAGGGGGGCTGTGTGTGTAAGGGGGGCTGTATATTTGTGTGTGGTGCAGTGTGTAGGGGGTTATAATTTGTGTGAGGGGATAGGGGACAGATTAAAGATAAAAAAAATAAATAACTAAATAAATAAATATAGATAATGTCACCCCTCCCTTCTTACTTTTGCCGAGGGAGGGGGAGACACTGCTTTCTCTTCCATTCCCTGGTGGTTCTAGTGGGGGAGTGAACTCTAACCTGCAGCTCAGGCTAGAGTTCACTCTCGCGAGCACGGAGCGTTGCCATGGTAACGCCCCGTGCTCGCGAGAGGAGAACCCGGCGGAGCTGCAGGTAATAGCAACCCCGGGTTCTCTCACTCACTCCCCTGCCGGCCGCCCAGCAATCTGCCTGTGGGCCGGGGAGGGAGATCACTGATCTCCCCTCCGGTCCGTGTTGGCAAACAGCAGGGCTGGTGCTTGGATAGCACCAGCCCTGCATGGGCCGGCAGAGGAGAGCCTCGGGCAGCTATATTTTCTCCGGGGGTTGCCCCGTTGCCCCCTGGATCCGCCAATGGTTCTACCCCCAGCACACATGACTTAGGCAGCCCAGAACTCTTCTCTGGGCTGCTTAATGGTTATTCTGTGCAAAAATGATGTCTGTCATCGGTGCTTATTCTTTATTTTATATTAGTTTTAGGTTTTGCAGTATGTGTGTCAATTCAGAATTTTAATTGTCTTATTATAGTCTTTATTTCCCTCCTAAAACATACATACAAAAAATAAAAAACATAGTATTTTATTTGTAACTGTATTAATACTGTTAAAGGAATATTGTTAAAATGAACACTCTGGGCACCATAATAACGAATGGTTTAACCCCGAAATTTTGAAACTGTCACCCATCAGTTCGACCCAGCTACTTCCATTGCAGTTGGAGGCTTGAATCTGGAAGCTTCAGGCTGGGAGTCACTCTTAGTAGCTCAGTAGCTCCCAATTCACAGAACAGAGTGAGAACAATATGTATGTTACTCCTTTTCAGATCACTATACAGGGAATGGACATTTATTCATACTTTGTTACACAGATTCCTCCTCATGACATCACCTGATTTCTCCTTCTCTTTTCATGATTCTATCTCATTTGACCTCACTACCTCTTCCTTCTGCTCACTGTTCCACACTAGCAAGCGATCACCCTGGCCTCTACCTAGGACTTCAATAAATTCTCCCTCTATCAGTCCATTCAGATTCAGCAAATTTTCAACATTTAAGATTATGGTTTCAAACATCAGAAAAACAGATACATAATAGCAAGCCGTATTATTGTAAACAATTAGCATGCTCATACTTTACCCTGTTATTAGTAACCTAAATATGCCCTACATTTTAGTATTTAAATATTTTTTTATTTTTTGTTATAATTACTTTTCCTCGATAGATCTCCACTTTCTGCTCTTCCTCAATTTGCAGTGGCGATAATATTGGCCCCAGTATATAAAGGTGTACATGGTAACAGGTTTCTGGGAGTTATAGTTCCACTATAAGGATCTAAAACTTGAACTCGATTTTAATGCTGACAACAGATGTAATAATCTTTCACCTTCCTCCACTACTTGTATTGCCTTTTTAGTTTCTTCATTTAAATTCCCTCTCCCACCCTCATTCCACTTTTTCCTCTCCTCCTCACATGTGCTCAGAGCTGGCAATACGGACCAATCACAGGCTTTCCTTTGATAAGCCTATGAGTTTACCGCACGAGGCCCCTTGTGAAGTCAGGACATGGCATGAAAGTCAGCAGTAAAATATTTTTTGCAGGTTTTACTGGGAACAGATGGAACTAAATTCATCATGCCCAGTGGCTTACCTACCACGGTCGCAGGGGTTGCAGCTGCGACTGGGCCCCTCACTGCAGGGGGCCCGGCCGCAGCCACGACCCCTCTGTCAGTGGGCCGCCTAGATGCCGCTGTGTTCCCCCTTTCATAGGGGGGCCCAAGATGGACCCCCCGGCAGGCGGTAGAGTTCCTGTCAGACGCGGCGAGAGAGCGGTGTTCTCTCTTCTCTGCTCCCTCGTACACCGTTTGCTGATGCTGGGAGACGGAATATGACGTTATATTCCGGCTCCCGGCATCAGTAAAAAGCCCGCGAGGGAGCAGAGCAGAGAGAACACAGCTCACTTGCTGCATCTGACAGGAACTCTGCCGCCCGCCGCACTGAAGCCCCACTGGACCCCAGGGACAGATCCACGCCAGCTCTCCAGGTAGGGAGGCTGGGTGGACATTTAATATGAATAATTTGTGTATGTGTGTGTCTGAATGTGTATGTTTGTGTCTGTAAGTGTATGTGTGTCTCAGTGTGTGTATATGTGTGTGTGTGTGTAAGTGTATGTGTGTCTGAGTGTGCTTGTGTGTCTGTGAGTGTGTGTCTGTGAGTGTACGTGTGTATATCTCTGAGTGTGTGTATATGAGTGTTTGTGTCTCTACATGTGTCTGTATGTATGTCTGTATGTATAGGTCTCTGTGTATGTGTGTGTGTGTCTGCAGGTGTATGTGTTTGTCTACATATGTGGGGTGGTAGGGCGGGGACGTGGGGGTAGGAGGTAGATGTATGGAGGGGCCCTAGGGCAATTTTTGCACCGGGGCCCCGTGGTTTCTAGTTACGCCTCTAATCGTGCCCAATAGGGCATATTACAGAGGAAAGGATTGGAGTAGCACTTAATGTGTTCACTGAATGCCCAACATGATTGGCTGCGTCACTTCCTGGTTTGGTGAAAGTTCACAACAAATGCTGCAAAGCTTGGACAGCTGTAGAAAATGCAGGGGTGACAAATGTGACGAACATCTGTTACTGAGTGAATACATTTTTTATACACACACACACACACATATATATATATATATATTTATTTTTTTTAAACCGTGTTAGCTGCATAATGTATTACAAATGTCTCACCTCTAGCTTCAAGTGACCTTTTAAGAAGAAGAACGTAATATAAGAAATCACGCTGAACAGATTTTACCCATACATTTTTTTATTTTTTTATATATAGGCCTTGTGCTGACATCATCAAAATACAAATGATTTGTGTGGCAAAACAGAAAGTGTTTATCTGTCGAAGACACATGTTTTTCAGCTGTCTAGGCTTTAAACCAGAGCTCGCATGGATTGACTTCAGGTGATACAAATTGGCTGTGTGAGAAGTTCAGGAACACACTTGTCTCTGTGTGCTTGCCATGGAAACATTAGCTGCTCTGTGTGCATGAGGCCTCCTTACAGGGACATCACAGCCGTCCTGCTTACCTTGGGTAAGCATTCCTCCGACTTGGTAGCTGCCTCCTCTGGAGGGATGATTGCATAATGGTGGAATGAAAACCATTTCCTCTTCCTACTGTCAGCAAGAAAGAATTCCACCCACTTTTAAGTGCCCCAGAAGCGGTGGGGAGGGAAGGAGAGTCTTGTTCAGTAAAAAGAGAGTGCAGAGTTTATTAATGCAAGAGATCCTGTTCTACAGAATGTGTGTCAAGAGTACAGAGATTGATCTCTGGGAATTAGCTAATCCGACTCTTCCTTCTGTTCTGAGACCGAGATGTAAAAAGGTTCAGCTGCTTTAGAGTAGGTGAAATAAAAATATGCTGTTTAATTGCAATAGCCAGGTATGCATTAGTGTATAGAAAAAGCTATATTCTCAATCACGGATGAACCTTGCATTAAGAACCACTTTTGTTTGCGGGATCAGTGAAAAATATAATTTTGAGAATTTCTGAGTGCTAAGCAACTTTTTTTTTTATATAAATGCAGAAATGCTCTGGGTGCTATAACTCCTGATTTCACAAGAACAGAGAACATAAATAATATGTAACTACCTGGATGTGACCGTGTAAACTAGGGGGTAGATCCCCAGATGTTGTAGAACTACAACTCCCACAATGCTTTGCAATCCTTTAACCCCTTAAGGTCCAATCCTCTGGAATAAAAGGGAATCATGACATGTCACACATGTCATGTGTCCTTAACGGGTTAAAGGGTTAAAATAGCAAAGCATCATGGAAGCTGTAGTTTTAACACATCTGGGGATATACCTTTTGGGCAGCCCTGGTGTAAGCCATTTGTTCTGTGGAAGGCAGATCTGCTTTCATTCGGGGATCCCAAGCAGCACCCTTTAGTCATTATGCAGCCTTAGCTCTGAATGTCAAAAAGAGCACAGTCCAGCATTATAGGTTGCATTTTTTAATAATTATTTTTTTTTGTATTGTTTTTTTGTTTCGTGTTGCATGTGTTGGTGCAATATTATAACTTGTAAAAAATAAATAAATGTCAAACTCTAGATATCTATATACAGGATTGTAAAACTATTTACAGCATTTTCAGATTAAGACACAGTGTGTTACAGAGATATGGGAGAACAGTTGCACGCTGAAGAGAGAAATCAATAACATTTAGACCAATAAAGTGTTTGTGTACAGGGTGTGTTTGCCTTTTGGCTTATATTTGACGTCAGTGGTATGTTCACCAAACTGTGCGTTCTAAAATTGAAGGAGCGTTCCAAGCACCATAATGGTGGTGCACTCCCAGGTACATGTATTCAAACCATTTGCAAACAGTTTGACAAATATCTAAAGCCTGACAGATACACACAGTCACCTCCTTGTCAGACAGAATCATCAGCACTAAGGTAATCCTGACAGTGCAGGGAAGTGCTTATTGGCTGAGAACACTCAGCTGATGCTCTTAGCCAATGAGTCGGCTTTGCATTTCAGGGCTTAGGTCACATAGAAACACAGAAAAATAGAATGTGATGGCAGATAAGAACCATTCTGCCTATCTAGTCTGCCCAATTTTTTAAAAATACTTTTAATTAGTTCCTGGCCTTATCTTATAGTTAGGATAGCCTTATGCCTATCCCACGCATGCTTAAACTCCTTCACTGTGTTAACCTCTACCACTTCAGCTGGAAGGCTATTCCATGCATCCACTACCCTCTTAGTAAAGTAATACTTCCTGATATTATTTTTAAACCTTTGCCCCATTGATTTAAGACTATGTCCTCTTGTTGTGGTAGTTTTTCTTCTTTTAAATATGGTCTCCTCCTTTACTGCGTTGATTCCCTTTATATATTTAAATGATTCTATCATATCCCCCCTGTTACGTCTTTCCTCGAAGCTATACATGTTAAGATCCTTTAACTTTTCCTGGTAAGTTTTACTCTGAAATCCATGAACCAGTTTAGTAGCCCTTCTCTGAACTCTCTCTAAAGCATGGGTCTTCAACCTGGTCCCTACCACCCACTAGTGGGCTTTACAAGATTCCAGGTGGGCGGTAGGGATTTCCTCATTTGGAGAGATTGGGTGGACGGATGGGTGCGAGCCGGCGGTACCCCTGCGACCAGGTACCGCCATCACCATTTGCGGCCCCGGCCCGGGCGGCAAACCGCCGGGGCCACCGTCAAAGGGGTCCGTCGGGTGGCCCATGCTGTCAGGGCCACCTGATGGATGTGGAATGTGAGGGGGCCCGGTCAGCGCTGGCCGCTTTAACAGCACGACCGGGCCCCCTGTGATTACATCACAGAGCTGGGAGGAAGTGACTGCACGTCACTCCTCCCAGCTTACACTGAGAGCCGCGCGGGAGGAAGACCAGGGAGTCAGAGTGGGAACTCTGACTCCCATCCACCTGAGCCACCACTGGACCCCAGGGAAAGTCACCCTCCTGCACCTTAAAGGTATGAAACAGAAGGGTGACTTAAATATAATGTGTGTGTTTGTTTGTGTGTGTGTCTTTGTATGTATGTCTTGTGTGTGTGTCTTTGTATGTATGTCTTGTGTGTGTCTGTATGTGTGTGTCTAAAGTATGTGTCTTTGTATGTATGTCTTGTGTGTGTATGTGTGTCTTGTCTTTGTATGTATGTGTTGTGTGTGTCTTGTCTTTGTATGTATGTGTTGTGTGTGTATGTGTGTCTTATGTATATGTCTGTATGTATGTGTGTCTTGTGTCTGTGTGTATGTGTGTGTGTCTTTGTATGTATGTTTTATGTGCGTGTCTGTGTGTATGTTTGTATGTATGTGTCATGTGTGTGTATGTGTGCCTGTTTGTTTGTATGTGTCGTGTGTGTGTGTGTGTGTGCCTGTCTGTGTGTCTGTATGTGTGTGCCTGTCTGTTTGTATGTATGTGTCTTTGTATGTGTGTCTTGTGTGTGTGTGTTATAGTGGGCTATAGTAAGTGTGCTACCTAGCTCAGCCTTCCTACTGGGCATTGCTATAAGTAAGGTTAAAAAATAGGAAAAAAGGGGGAACAAAAAGGTGGGGAGGGGAATTGAGGAAGAAGAGGAGGGGAGCTGACGCACAGATGAGAAATCATTTTATGCACAAACAGAGAAGTCGTCTGAATATCACCGAAAGAGGAGACCTTCGTTTGTACCTTACAAAAATCGAACCAGATATCAAATATTTAGTCTCGCAGCATCAACCTCAAGGATCTCATTAATCACTACTAAAGGTAATTTCAATTTACTTTATTGTTTTCTCATTAAACTTTATAAAGTTAAAAACATTATCAACATGCATTAAGTAGAAATAAAAAGATAAATGTACGTACATTTTTTTTTTTAAAACGCCCTCCTTTCTAAAAACTATTCTGCACTTGCGCGAAAACTGGTGGGCGGTAAGGAAATTTTTCCATCAAGAAAGATGCATTAGTTGGCGGTAGGAAGAAAAAGGTTGACTTCCACTGCTCTAAAGTATCAATATCCTTCTAGAGATACGGTCTCCAGTACTGCGTACAATACTCCAAGTGAGGTCTCACCAGTGTTCTGTACAATGGCATGAGCACTTCCCTCTTTCTACTGCTAATGCCTCTCCCTATACTACCAATCATTCTGCTAGCATTTCCTGCTGCTCTATTACATTGTCTGCCTACCTTTAAGTCATCAGAAATAATTACCCCTAAATCCCTTACCTCAGATGTTGAGGTTAGGACTCTATCAAATATTCTATACTCTGCCCTTGGGTTTTTACGCCCAAAGTTTTTCACGGATACATATGGAAGCTCCTTGCAGGAGATGTCAGCAGTAACTGCCCGGTGGACTGCAGGTAAATTGTAAAGCATGTTGCCAATTCAAGGCCTGAATATCTAAGCTGGAAAAGTAGCTGATTTGAAATTTTTTCAAGTTTTATTATTTCGGTTTAAAGGGGCACTACACTGCACAAATACAAAATAAATATCAATCACTGATTAGTAGATATATCCCCTATGAAAACATGCATGCATTGCATTTCAAATTTTTTTTTTTATTGGGGTGTATCTAATAACAGCTTGCAAAAGGGGCAGATCTCTTGTCTTCAATCTTTGCAAGCCTTCCCCTTCTAACCCCGCCCAGACTTTCTGTGGCTGTCCAATCACAGACTTCCCAATGCAGCTCAAGGAGAAGTCTTTGCAAGGCAGGTGCTCTGAGCAATTACTGCCTCTTGAGTTTAGCTGAGCAAACAAAACCAGGGAGTAACAGGACCAGTTGTCTGACAGTCAAGGGTGGTGTAACACGGTTAATTTATAACATTGTCGATTTATATTGAAATCTGCACTTTTTGGAAAATGGAAAAAAGGGGGGCGGGAGTCACACTCTGCACATATAAAACTTTTTAGCAAGCTAAAGTGCTTTAGGGCTCTCTTACCAATTCTCCACCATCCCTAAATTAATCAATAAAAGCTGATGTCCACTGAGCAAGCCTAGTTTGTGAGCGAGAGAATGCATTCTTTTTTATTTATTCACTAAACTGGTACTTGAGAGAACTGAAGTCCAGACATATTTTTTTTGAATATTTTATAGAGTGTATGCATACATTTGCACAATCACAGACATACAAACTTACAAACATACATACAGTGACATATACTACCCACATTGGAGCATGCAGCCTCCGTGATGACACTGACACCCCTTGTAGGTGTAGCAATATTGCTGAATGTGAATTCTTTGAATTTTTTTTTGACAGCTTGGTGGAGGCATATGGGGAATCAGATGGAGTCTGAGGTGACCAATCAGCTAGCCCATGCATAAATAGCCCTGACTTCTAGGGAGGAGCATTTGCCCTGGTTCCATAAGTTCGAATCTACACTATTGATCTTACAAGAACAGAGAACAATATATAACTACCTGAATGTGACCATGTCGAACATTCATCCTGTGGAAGACAGGCCTGCTTTCCGGAGAGGATCCCAAGCAGCACCCCTTATTCATCACGCCGCCTTAGCTCCTAATGTCAAAAAGAGCACAGTCAAGCATTCTAGGTTGCATTTCATTTTTGTACTATTTACTTGTTATTGTTTCCTCTCTCTTAATATGTTGGGGCAATATTATAACAACTATACCCTTTATTAAAAAAAAAGTTACAATCTAGATATCTGAAATCTATATTGTCAAACTATTTATAGCATTTTCAGATTAAGACAGTGTGTTGCAGTGTTATGGGAGAACATTTTCACGCCAAGAGAACAATCAATAACAACAAAGTAATATAAAGAATTGCGTACTGGGAAACATCACAACTACAGCAACCAGTTATCCAACCTTCAACAAATCCATCACAACTAATCCAGGGTGGAAAATTCACTCAAACTGCGTAACCATGACAAGGCAAACAACGTCCCCAGAAATCGGGGTATATAATAAATATGCATATAGAATATATGTCTCTAGTGTTCTAATACATATGTGCACAGTATACATAATGATGGTGGGCAGCCAGTCTATTGTTTAAAAAAACAAAACAACTAGAACGTATATTGAATACTCAGTTTTAAAGTTTATTAAACAAAAAAACTGAAACATGACTGAGTTGTTTTTTGTTTTGTTTTTTTTTAATATGCATTTTTATTATAGTTTCTCCAGACAGACAAGCAATAATAGTTCTGCAAGAAAATAAAATAAAAAAATGTATAACATGTATATGTGTGAAATGTTTGTTCTGACCTTTTATATATATATAAAATTAAATAAATAAAAATCACCACAAACCGATGCTAAACTTTACTTTAGTGATTGTTATGAATGAGATAACCCATATTAACACATTAAAGGGACACTATAGCCACATAGACCACTTCAGCTCATTGAAGTGGTCAGGGTGCAGTGTACCTATTGCACTTAGTGCTGCAAGTAAACCCCTTAAGAATTGCACAAGTTGTGAAATAAAACCTAAACAAAAACTGGAATTTGCGCTATATGTCTGTTCAACCGTAATTCACCTCTTTGATATTAAGTGCGCCCACACTTATATATAATTTTGTTCAGAAGAAACTATTTTACATGAACTATTCATAAATAAAACACAATTTATTATGAATAAAATCTAAAAAAGTGTTAAAAAGTTAAAATGTTTAAAATAATTTTTAGTTCTGTGTGGCATTTTAACTGTCAATGTCATTATACTGTTAGTTTTTACTGCAAAGCGGTGTCTCACGAGTACAACCACACCCTCCATGTGGAAAGTTACAGGGTCAAATGTTGCATGTTTCATTTTTTAGTTTATACACATTGAAATTTGCCAGATTGGTATGTTGCCTTTGACACTGTATCGCAGCCCAGGAATTAGAATTACCCCCATGATAGCATACCATTTGCAAAAGTAGAATACCCAGGGTATTCAATATTGGGTATGTCCAGTCTTCTTTAGTAGCCACTTAGTCACAAACACTAGCCAAAGTTAGCGTTTATATTTGTTTGTGTGCAAAAAATGCAAATGCTAACTTTGGCCATTGTTTGTGACTAAGTGGCTACTAAAAAGACTGGACATACCCCATTTGCAATACCTTGGGTTGTCTACTTTTGCAAATAGTATTCCATCATGGGGATAATTCTCATTCCTGGGCTACCATACGGTCTCAAAGCAACCTAACCAATCTGGCAAATTTCAATGAAAACATGATATGGGCAAGCTTTATATTTGACCCTGTAACTTTCAAAAACACTATAAAACCAGTACATGAGGGGTACTGTTATACTTGGGATACTTCACTGAACACAAATATTAGTGTTTCAAAACAGTAAAACGTATCACAACAATGGTATCATCAGTGAAAGTGACGTTTGAGTGTGAAAAATGCAAACATCACTTTCACTGACAATATAATCATTGTGATATGTTTTACTGTTTTTTTTTAAAAATTCTTTATTTTTGCCTCACTCCAACATGTGACAGAGCAGATATAAAATATATAGCATACATAACATATCTTGGAAACATGACATCCTATACACTGCAATTTACTGTTATGTAACACATTAAGGGTGGTTGGGATAAGGGTTTTATTGTTATTAAAGGACCACTATAGTGCCAGGAAAACATACTCGTTTTCCTGGCACTATAGTGCCTTGAGGGTGCCCCCACCCTCAGGGTCCCACTCCCGCCCGGCTCTGGAAGGGGGAAAGGGGTAAAAACTTACCTTTTTCCAGCGCTGGGCGGGGAGCTCTCTGCCTCCGATCCTCCTCTTCTCCTCCCCGTCGGCTGAATGCGCACGTGCGGCAAGAGCTGCGCGCGCATTTATCCGGTCACATAGGAAAGCATTCATAATGCTTTCCTATGGACGCTGGCGTGCTCTCACTGTGAAAATCACAGTGAGAAGCACGCAAGCGCCTCTAGCGGCTGTCAATGAGACAGCCACTAGAGGAAATTGGGGAAGGCTTAACCCATTCATAAACATAGTTTCCCTGAAACTGCTATGTTTATGAAAAAATGGGTTAACCCTAGCTGGACCTGGCACCCAGACCACTTCATTAAGCTGAAGTGGTCTGGGTGCCTAGAGTGGTCATTTAAGTAAAGGAGTTTGGGTTGAGTGGTGAGCTGGCCATGTGGCTCAGCCGTGTGGAGTAAAGGCCTTCTCTTGCCAAGGGAGGCCTAGAATAAGGTGGCCGTTTAAGTGCTTGGGCGGCTGATGTGCCCAAAAATATGGGGGAGTACTGCGGTTAGGTTGATTATCGGTTCGTTAATTATGCCAAGCGGTAGTGCTGGGAAGGGGTGTGCTGCTTGTATTCGGAAGCTGATTCAGCATTTCCGTGTGGAGAGAGTAGCAAGGGTAGTTCTCATTATGGGGGAGGGGGGGGGAGGATGTAGTCGGACTGTGTGTCCTGTAAGGAGCAGTGTAAAAGCATCTGAAAATTATAGTGGCAGGATATCGTTGGCTAAACCTGCATAAAGAAAACTTAAAATAATAACTATGCCAACATTAAAAATTTAAATAAACTACCAGTCCATCGGCACGTCCCTCCGCATGAGGGGTAATTTAGGCCCAAGTCCACTTGTGGTGTCTCAGCCTGTATCTGCCTCATTGCGAGGTACAAAGGGGACTATATTGGGTATATCCCAGGAATGTCCAGGTGTGGTGGTGTTGGTCTTGTGTCGGTTTAGCCCCAGGCTGCGGAGGAAAGGGTCGGGATCAGCAGCTGATGCGAGTCGGCGGGTGGTCTTGCCCTGGGTGGCCACGAGTGTGTGGGAAGAGCCCCATCTGTATTGGACACCTGCCTCTCGGAGGGTCTTGGTGACCTGGCTGACTGAACGTCTCCACTCCAATGTTGCCCTGCAGAGATCCTGTATAAAAGTGAGTTGGGAGCCCTCAAATTGGAGCGGGCACTTGTTCTTGATGGCATCCATCATTGCTTGTTTGTCATGGAAGCACTGGATTTGAAGGAGGACATCGCGGGAAGCGACCACCGGTGCCCTAGGAGACTTGGGGAGCCGTTGTGTTCTGTCCAGTTGCAGGATCTTCGCCTGCTTGGGGTGCAGGATCTCCGACATAAGGCGCTGAATAAAGTGGGGTAGCTCCGTGTCATTGAGAGATTCAGCTATGCCTCTGACTTTTATGTTGGTGCATCCTAGCGTCTTCCATTGCATCCACTCCGGCCTGTAGGGCCTGGTGTGAGCCTTGCAGTTGCTGCAATCACTCTGTTGCGTCTGACTGGCATTGTGCTATGGAGGAGATGTCCTCCACTGTGGCCTTCACCCTGTCCGTTATGGCGGCAACCTCCTCATGGAGCTACGCTATGTCCGTGCGGAACCATGTGCGCAGGTGTTTCATTAGGCCTAGGATGTCTCCTTTAGTTGCAGGAGCCCCCAGGTCTCCTAATTGCATGGCTGAGAAAGGGTCGTCCGCCTCAGGAATGGCATCTGGGGAGTCCAGTGGGTCCTCTCCTGAGGATAGGCCAAGGGAGTCTGGCGTCGACGCCATTTTAGCTTTAGGCCGCGCCAGAAGTATGTCTCCTATTCTTCGTGTGCCGTCGTCTGAGGTGGGTTTTAGGTTTTTTGCTCATTTCCCCATAGTGTGGTGCAGGGAGGTGCCGAGTATTTGACGGTGCACAGCTTATTTTATAGGTGGTTGTCTATTTCTTGCCGATTTCAGCCCGGAGCTCAGCAGACATGCGACTGCTCTCCGTGATGGTCAGGCCTCAACCAACCATATGTTTTACTGTTTTAAAACACTAATATTTGTGTGTGAAGTCTCCCGAGTAAAACAGTACCCCTCATGGACAGGTTTTAGGGTGTCTTGGAAAGTTACAGGGTTAAATATAGTTCTAGCAAATTAAATTCTCTGGACTTTCTGCCTGGGTTGTCAGGTCCCTCAAATTGCAATCAATAAAATGACTTAATTATGTAAAAATATTACATAAATAAGCACGTAGAATTTAAAAATATATATACATATTTATATATTTGAAGTCTACATGTATATTTATAAAATTATTTATGTAAGTATATGGATATATTTATATTTTTTATCATTTTTATTTATTTATATAAACATATAATTTTATTCTAAATGTATTTTGATATAAATATATATATATTAATATCAAAATACAATTTGAATAAAATTACACCTATATATGTATATATATATTTATATATATATATATATATTTATTTTTTATTATTATTTTTTAAATTTATTTTATATTTACTTCTTAACATTTTATAATTATATATATATGTACAATATATATAGTTATTATATAAATTATATATACATATGTGTGTAATTTAATACTAAGTGTATTTTGCTATTAATATATGTATATATTAATATAAAAATACACTTAGTATGACATTATATATATAAGATAGCACAGCACAGGCCATCCCCATGCAGGCAGATACAGGGACAGCTATTGCGGCCACATGGCCTGTGTGGGCCTAATTTGCTGAGGGGGGGCTGTGTGAGCTCTCAGGAAGTCCCCCCAGACCAGGAGCAACGCCGATTGCTGGCGGGGAACAGCGGCGATCAGGTGAGTGCATAGGACGTTCTATGCCGCCCACCGGCATTTAGCCTCGACTCCTTAAGGATGCCACAGAATGCCCGCCTTCCTCAAGGAGTTAAACAATGCAGTTCCAGAGAAACTGCAATGTTTACATTACAGCTCTAGTTTGCACACTGTGGCTGTTTCCCAGACAGCCACTGGAGACGCCTCCTGAATCCAAACGGACCTTTGGTCTGGTGTCTGGCGCTGGATTCTGCTTTGTATTCGTGGCACCTATAGTATGCCTTTAAGGTGGGACCTTAATATATAAACAGGAAGATATTTTGTCCAATTATTGGCTGGCTCAGAGTAATTTCCTGTGCCTCTGTGGCCTTATAAGGAATTGAGAATAAGTACCTAAAGAAAGAAATTGTCTTTGTGTCCAGAATTCTTCCAATCAGTGAAGCCCCTAATCCTCTCAATAGCTTTAGACCTACATCATTTTAAGTATTTTA